GGGAACGATTTTTCAGTATAGAAGAAAGTATTCCATACTAGTGTGGAACGGTAAAGAACGAGTTCCTTCAGATCGAGAATATTTCTTTCTGACTCTGAACGCATTCGCTCAAACAAGGAACGCATTCTCTACGTAGGAGATAGGTTTCCATATCCGCATGAAACCATTCTATTCCGTTTTTTTTCGAAATATTTTTCACTGAGATAGATTATAATTAAAAAACATGATAGTATATTTTGTTGTAATTTTCATAATGACGAAACTGATTAGTCAAACCTTCATCTCATTATAAAACAGATATTTTACTTGATTAATAGTTTTCACTTTGCTAACATATCTTTTGTCAGTACCCATTCAACATCATATGTATCAATTTTCAGTTTCTGTATTATTTATGATCTGTTAATATTTTTTCGCGCTCCTCAGCTTTGTCGTTCGTTTATGCATTGAGCCTTCATCTTCATTTCTTATCTTTTTCCTCCCACGTTTTCTCTTATCTAACTAAATATGGTCCATTGGTTTATTGATCGACTCTTTGTTTGATATTCTTATAGACTACCCTTCCTCCGATTCTCATATTTTCCCCTGTTCTCTTCTCTCTATAGAGCGTAAATATAGAGCAAACTATAGAAGGTGAAACTTTTGATTTCTGTACATACTATACAGAGCTGCCAACAGACCACTTTTTTCGGCCTGGTCTGGTCTAGTCTAGTCTGACTCAGCCTGGCAGTCAGCGTACGATGGAATGACTGACTTTTTAGCCTGGTCTGACCTGGTCTTGCCTGCAGGCCAAGTGATATTTAGAATTTTTTCAAGTCGACTAATTCTATAGCTCGGAATTAATGTACTTTTCATGAAACGAAAACTTGAATTATTGAGGTTTTTTGACAATATCGTTAGTTCTTCGCATAGTCGAATAAACAAGTTCTTCTACTTGTCAGTTTAAGTTCAGCAATGCTAAATCGTCTCTGTAATCTTGCACTCGTCGCTGGAATACTGTGAATTTGTCTAGCTACTTACGATAAATATGGTAATTCATCGTTATTCGAAATTCCAGAAAGAAGAAACACTAGAAAGATAATTTTTCATAGCAATTTTCATCGATAAATATCGGCTAAGTTCATCAGATTGACTCATAGGTAATGAATATTCAATACTTGTAGTATCATAATCATCATCCCATTAATAATGTTTATTTCCACCATCTTTAAAAACATCGAGTAGAGAAATCAATATCATTTTTCAGCCAGGTCAAAGTTGTTGGCCTGGCCTGACCTGAAACCAACCTGAATGTATTGGTTGAACAGATCAGACCAGCCAAATTTTGAAGATTCAGCCTGGACAGAAGGCCACCAGGCCAGGCCGACAGCTCTGACACTATACTGCCGTATAGTGAAATAATGCGAAAAAAAAGTAGATATTTTGTATCAACTGCTTTTCTATATTCAATAACAGTCATGGTTTTGCACATCACGCGATGAAAACACCGGGTGTAAAACATAGAATGAAGGATTTTTTTTTCATGTATATGCATTACTGAATGAATGTGTCACGATCAGATACAAACAAAAATTCGTAATTAACTAAAAATAACTACCAGAAGTAGGAGCTTTTTCCATTTAAGAAAGACGTCAAAAATTTTCTAGAATATTATTACACGTTTCGAATAAAGCAAATTTTCTCGTCTAATTTCCGTCGTTTTATTTTAAATTCTCGATATTTCATTTTATCACATAATAAAATATCAAGGACTTTGCTACGACGTACATACCAACGCATTTGAATTTGACCATTTAATGATTAATGGTGTTCATTAATGAATGATTTATATTCATCTTGATAGGTGTATGGTTTTAGTTTGTGCATAAATATGAGTTGCTATTCGAATAGGACTGAATCATTCATTGATAAGCATTATTGATCATCGAATAGTGCAAGTTTAAATGCTAGAAAGTATTCGATATAGAAAGAATGATGTATTGCAAGTCTACTTTAGACAATATTCAGTATTAATTACATGCACGAAAAACAAGCTCGACAATTTTTTGTATATAATTCAAAAATAATGATTAAAACAAACGAATGAGTCTGAAAAAATGAATATTAATATAAATATTATTATATTATGAAACATGTCACTTTTATAAAATACCCAGTAAGATCAAAACCATGTCATTTCGAAAAATTTTCACGAAAATTCCCTAGTCTGTAGAGCAAATACGGCTGCTTTTATTTGACAATTTTGAAATATCGTGCGCATGATATATTTGATATTTCATTGTAGATCGATTCTTAAAAGTGTATAAGCGTGACTTAATAGCTAGATTAGTTAGTTTTCAAAGATATTCTTTAAATACAATTAGAATCAGATAGTTGATGTTGTACGATAAAATTTGCGTGTGATTGTCTTTGTCTAATACTTGGAGAAAAGGAAAATATTCATAAATACTCTTGAGAAACTTAACTAGACTATTCTTCATCAAAAGTATCTAATACTATATTGAAGTTCGCTTCATAAAGTTTTAGATTATACTTATCTATTTTATAATCTTTAAGCTATTACCTGAACTCCTTGAATAAAAACAAGCTTCTTATGTAACTTTTAGTTTTATAATTCACCACATGAAATAATTCAACACAATGTCAACACAAAATCAAATATGAATGATGTATACCAGGAAAAAATAAATGATAATATTGATATTACTAGGCAATTATCAGAAAATACAGATTTTTCATCACCGCTAATTTGTAGTAAAGACAGTAGTCTATTTTCGTTCTACAACCGATCAATAATGAATAATAGTGAGTGGTTGGATACCAATAAAAAAAAACAATTTTCTGTTTGTGATTTAGTGCTTAATAGGACATCAAATAGTAATCGATCAAGTGATATAGAAATAGATAAAGAAGTTAATACACTTAGCATGGTTTATTTATTACCAAAACAAGCAGCCAAGTCAGGTAATCAAAAGGGGTCAATCAGTAGTAGACATGATCGTTCAAAATCTGCTACTGGAAAAAGAGTGTCTAGAACTGACGATAAAACAATTAGCTGTTGTTGCTTGAGCAAAAATAAAATGAACCATGTACAAAATGGAGCAGTATCTAGAAAATATGAAAAAAATATAGTAACAATGGCGGCACATAATATTCCAACTCCGGTGAAATCGACAGGGCCTGTTGAAATAAAACATACAATATCGAATAAAATTGAGTTCGTTTTTTTTAGTATTCTTTCAAGGCTTAATAGATTTATTCCTTAGAATACATGCACAGGATCAGCCAGTTGTGGTGGATTTGTTACCAACAGATCATAATTGTCATAATACTGAATCTTCCATAGATTTGCAAAATGTGTTGGTGGATTCAAATAAACACAAATCTTCACTTCCTTTACATTCACGATGTCTCGTTTTATTTGAATTTGTCAATCGAGAAGAACATTCAGTGGCTGTCGCTGAACTCCCACGTTCATTTTTTCGACTTTCGCGTATGCATATTTATCAAAAAGTGTGCGAACGTTTAACAATAGTGAATCTCATCGACATGGATTTAACAGCTCTAACAAGAGCTATTGTACAATCTTTTTCATAAATAGCTTTAACCGAGTGATTTTCTATGTTTTAAATTATAGTATTCGAAATAAATTATTAATTAATTAAGTTGATTCAATTTTTCATCGTTAAACATAAAAAAGTTCTTATCAGCTAGGTATGAAAGCATAAAAATTATTTAATTCTTGTAAATTATTATAAATAATTTATGATAAACCATGATGGTCTTTCAGCTTGACAAAATAATTATATAAAGCAGTTTAAAGTATCATGCCTGTTTAAGGTATACTGAACTGCATTAGTTCATTTAATATCGAAATGCTCGAAGTTTGGGAATGATGTGATATCGTTTTCTCTTGTTCAATCCTTCATGTTTGTCTACAAATAATTTTACTATCTTATAAAAAAATTATTCTGTCATCTTTCACTTCTATCTAAGTGAAATTTCAATCACTCACAACAAAAAAATTTGAAATACTACATAAGAACGAGAGCAGAAAATGTAGAACAATGGTATTTTGTTAGAAATAGTCTAACGCTTGGCAACGCTAAGTTTATAACAGGTAATTAAAAAAATGTATTTTCCAATTTCGTTGCTGATTCATCATCTTTTTGATAAAGTGATATATTTTCTTGAAATTTAACTGAGTAATTTTATTTACATAATGACATCACCAATCGTATGTCATGCTGTATTTGATGTCTACCTAACATACGAGAACTTATTTAGTCGATATGCATTTGTTTGTCCTCTATTTATAACTGCAGTCATGGCGGTGTGAGGATGGAGGATAGAGCCATCATTTACCACACCTACATCCACACTCTCAGAAATCACGATTTTATCAGTTTCTTCAATCGAGGTATATACGAAATAAAAGATCTTGCAAAACTCTTGCTACACTCGATATAGATCCAAATTTTAAAAATTCAATTTTTTACGCTTTGATTATAAAAACAAAGAAGAAGGTTTTGGGTACGATAACTGAATGTATTTCTTTCGACGAATTGGTCAATATATTCACATAATATAGACAATTCTACTGAAGTAATTTTTTTTTCATTTTTTTTCTTTTAAATAAAATTAAGAATTTTTTTCAAAGAATTTAGTAAAAACATTAAATATATTATTGGATGATTGCCATCAACTTATACCATTAATATCTTTATTAAAATTTAACAACATCACGCTCAAATGTATTCATATGCTTCTGTATTGGTTATATTCGTACTCAGGTTCATGATTCAGGACGTCTGGTAGATGCCATGAAACTGCCTGGAACGGCCAAGAAACGGCGCAAATAATGCCCGAAACGATGAAAAAACGACCGCCATTTATAGCCGTTTCCCCTAGAACGTTAACAATGTCCTTCAAGGCCTTTTCCAATCAAAAAAGGGGAACCCAGGACAATCATTCCGACCGTCGTAATGGGCATCTTATCAGGCCTGAAACGACTATAAAACGGTATAATGAGGCATTCATTTTCACTTTATTTCGCCGTAATCCGGCAGTTCGTTTTACGGGCCATATTGTCGCTAGAAAACGGTCAGCATTTTTGATGCTATATTCGTCGTTTTACGGGCTGGCGAAACACGGCGTCGTTTTTCAACGTTTTACATCGTTTTTACGTCGTTTACGGCCATTTGCGCACCATTTTCTTGAACATGAGAAGGAATAGCAGAATACTATTTTTGCCCTTATCACTTGATCTCGCCGTTTTCACCATTTTTCAGTCGTTTAAGGCCATTTATGGACCGTTCTATACGACATGGGTGTAGTATTTTCATCTGAACGAGCATCAATTGCTTATATTTGTTGATCAACATATTCTATGCGCCTTTTAAAAAAAGTTGCACTAAAAAGAAAATTTTCTTATTTAACAATAAAAGATCTTCATATATATGTTAGTGAATTAATAAATTAATGTTTTCAACAGAATTTACGTTAACCTAATAAACTTGTTTCCTTATCAAGTTGACTTTCGCAATGAATTATTTCAAACAGCGCTTGATCATAAACTAAAAGCTATTGAAGGAACATGCTAATGTAAGTATGATTCGTTCAACGATGAAATCAAAGAAACAAATCTTGTTTTTTCTATAGAATTTTATGCCCAGGAGAATCGTTCCGACAGTAGCCCGATCCAATTTTATATGAATTTCTATAAAATTTATGAGTTCCTGTAGGAATCCGGGTTGTGGCTCGATATTCGGATCCCTACACTCTAAATGAAAATTGTTTTTCCGGGAATCCCAGAAACCTCTTTTTGTCGGCTTCCAAGAAATCAATTCTTATTTAGAGTATAGTATTGTGATCCGATCATATCTTAGTTTCGGATCCGGTGCAACCTCTTGAAGGGCTTGGACCGACCTCAAGTGTGGGTTCCAGATACTAAATAGTGTCTAAATAAGAAAATATGAATTTTCCATCGGATCCGCTAGTAGCTTCTCAACTCGGAATCCCATTGCGGTTTGTCAGTTCTTCGGATCTTGTAAGATCCGATAGGATTCGGTATTGGATTCGTTCATCGTGGTGATCATAAACAAGTTCATCGTATTTGTATTGTTCTTGTTAAAAAACATCATAATACACATTTTTTTACTTGGAATGAAAAATTAAATCAAACAAAACATAATCCGCCAAGTTAACTGAATTTTATTTTGTCATTCGAATATTTCTTTGTTTTAATTTTAGGAATAGTTATTGATACAAATATTGTTTTACCAAACGATTTTTATTTTTATCTTAATTCTGATCAGAGCTGGATAAGTCGAGTTTAGTCAAGTCAAGTCTTGACCTAATAAAAAGGTTCTTTTTTTTTTAAATATTTTGACGAATTTCTAATGTCTATCACTTCAGTCTTATAAAGAGTGCATTGCTTTCGAATTTTTAATAAAGATAAGTGGTGCAGTATCAATTTTTAAAACTTTTACATGTGATAAACATGCGCAAAAAACTACCGGTTTACCACGGTTTTACCGGTTCGGTTACGGGCTCCCATATCAGTGTAATTTACCGCAGGAAGGATCAATACTGCGATTTACCGAAAAAAATGATCCGGTATTCGTAACACGGGTGTGACTTGAAAAATGTGTGACTTGCTCAGCTCTGATCCTGATGCATCTATTCAAGGTATAGCAAAACCAATGCTTTATCAAGTCTTATATGTAATACCTGTGTTGTATTGTTGGATACAATCTGAATGCAATCTTTTCTCATCAGTTCGCCATATTTTTATTTGATGCTTCCGTTCTAGAACATAAAAGGTTGATTCATCGGAGAATACAACATTATGACAATCATTTTTGGAAAAACGTGCATATCGTCTACACCATGCCATTCTTTGCTGACGACACTTCCAACTCAGCCATTGTTTTTTGGCTGTCACATTACATTCATAACCTAATTTTTTGAAATAATTGAAGATTATTTTTCGGATCACAGATTCTCGTAAAGTTTGCTTTAATTCGTTTGCAATTTTGTTGCAAGATAATTTATTATCACTTTTAACAAGTTTTCTTCAAATACCGTGTTTCTCTTTCGCCAAGTTCTGAAGGCTGACCCGAACGGTTTTTGTCAACGAAATCGCCAGTTTCTTCATATTTTTTGATGGCATTATAGACACATCCCTAAGGAATATTCAATTGCTTGGGAATTTTGTCCATACTCATCGATGATTTATTGTTGTTTTACAAGGCTACTGCTTGACTTCGTATAAACGGATTAGTAGCTTTTGCTCCATTACAAAGGAAAAAGATTCGCATAAAAATACTTGTAGATATGGAAGAATATAGTTGTATGTACAAAAGAATGCAGTTGCCAAACAATGAGTTCTTCAATGAAGATGTTCTCCAAATAATAGTGTAGCAACTAGTTGTTTGTTCTTAACAAAGGTTTTTTCGAAATAGAAACTTGATCTTTCAAAATATTTTTATATGCACTAAGTGAGTATTTATTCTGTCTAGATCTAGATGTATCAATTGTTAGAGTTTTCTTAGTCGTTATCTCCGAGTATAATGAGAAGAAATAAAATTGTTCTTAAACTTTTTCCTTTGCTTTATGTTTGAAACTGACAATCATGTATTTTCTTCGCTTATAATATAAGACTTTCTCATTTCCATAGAAAACTTGAAGATTTTTGAAGGTTACTGACTATACTTCAGACTTTGACACTAATAATAACCAAAATATGATCCGAGGCAAAAGTTTTTCTTTTTTATACAAAAATGCTCACTTTACTTGATAGCTACCATGTGTTACATTTATTCAAAATAAATTTCTTAGATCGACTCAGAACATAGAAAAATCTATCAAAAAAACAATAAATGAATATAATCGATCGTTTGAATTTTACCGTACAATTTTAGTCGTATTGGTTGACCGTTAGTCGAGCAAGTGGAGAATTCTATTCTTTTTCTTGGGAAATATTTCTAGATTGTTTCTTTCTATGTCTGAATGCTTTATTTATCAGTAAAAATTGAATCTATGTATATATCTTTTAGAAAAATAATCCCTAATGAAGTCTTTTTTTTCTCAAATGCAACCAGGAGAATGATTCCGATAATAGGATTCTATCGGATTCGTGTCGGAATCTTATCGGATACCGTCCGTTTGTATCATGAGCAAAATCAGATATTTTTATTTCTTGAATGAAATAAAAGAAAATAATCGTGATTTCTTTTATAGTTAGGTCAGTCAAATGAAGTGATAGGCAGAATAAAAGAGAAAAAAATTTAATTTTGTTTTTATCGTGTTCAGATATAATTGTAAGACTGAATGACCTCATTATACATTTCCATTGATCAAACACTTATTTAGCAGTAACAAAAAACAGGATTAAGTTTTCATTATAATCATGGAATTCCAGATGCTATTCTATTAGCATTCAAAAAAAGATTCAACTTTGAAACAAAAAGAAATTAATCGAAAAATATGCGGAAAATATCATTTCAACCTTACCAGGACAGAAAAGTTTAATGATATATTTCATTAATTATAATCATACCAAACACAAGTTTTTACTTGCAACTTGCCAAACGAGCATGCAGCCTATAGATCTATTGATGCGTCACGTATATTTGTTTACTTGATTTTTCTTTCTTTCTATTTGTGCTTCTTGAAGCCTAAATTAACTGCAAATTATTTGGAAAAAAAATGTATTTTTGTTAATAATTATTATCCTTGCTAACAGTACGCGGATCTAGGTCATTTATCGATATCAGATACTCATTTTTTTCTCTTGTTTTTTGTACATGTATAAGAAAGCGAAGGAAATTTTTGTCTGTCGACATGTGTATCTGCAGGACCGACTATTATACCTTTTTGTGAAGTTTTATCTTATGTACAAGTTTTGATGCTTGCTCTTTATGGCAAAAATGTGAGGAATGAAAGTTACACTCTTGCCTGAATTATATTTGCAATAGGCAGATTGTATTTTCCGTCAGACCTATCGATAACTGACTGGTTGAAGTTTTTAATTTAGCCAAAGTAAAAATCAACGTTTATCTAAGATCTACTTTGTGCAGTGTATTCTAAACTTGAACATCGCTCTGCTTCAACTATTATAAACATATTGAGTTTGCTGAAGTCATCAACATCAATTACACTGATTATTCAATAGAGATGACAGCAACAAAAATATAGTCATTAGTCACAGACTACGATAAAACGGAAAACACAAGAGTGAGATGTACATTAAAATAGAATACTATTTGAGATATTTGAACCTTTTCTTTTGCACTAATGATTCATTTTCTCAACATAGGCAATATTTGTCTAATGAATAAGTAATAATGACACCGATAAAAACAAAAAAATAAAAAATAATACCTGAGTCATTTACGTTCGTGTGCAACCTGCGACATCTCTTTCTTCCTTTCAAAATTTCTATTCATAGATTTTTATCAAAACCTAGATAGATAAATACTTTATAAAGAAGAATAAGCAGAAGAACAGCCATTAGTCAATATATCGTTGTTGAGTAATTATATAGGACTATAATTTTTTATTTTTTTATTAAAATTTGTTAATATTCAATTTTTGAATTGAATATGTTCGTCGAGTGAGTAGCAAATGATGCTCTATAAAGTGTTGAGCAGCTAAAATACACTTTTTTTCTAATGAGACATTGTAAATATTATGAAATATGACGTTATTATAAGTGTTCAAACTTCGTATATTTAAAAACACAATTTTCCCCAATTTCCAACTACTGCTATGTGCCTGTCCAAGTACACTTTTACTATTGGTAGATGACGTCTACGTCCAACAAACAGATGAATGCAACAGAAAGAGAAGAAAATGTTTTTTTCTCTCGATGATTTGGTGACTCCAGTTTTTCTTAATACGAATTTTATTTTATTTTAGTTTTTCCAACATAACTTCCTCTCTATTTATATACACGGTAAAGATTTTATAAAGTCAATCATTCTGTAAGCAAACCATGAGTGAGAACGCTAACAATCAGGCGCTTTCGATTGTTTGGCTCGATGATTCTGACGAAAATTCTCAAGAAAATATGAGCATTCAACAACACTTACGCGCCCTTAGTAGTAATTTTAAAATGTTCAAAGCTATAAACGATTGTGAACAATATCTGAAGAATCAGCCTGAAACTACTCCTATTTCATTAATTGTTAGTGGTAGATTGGGTAAAGATTTAGTACCTGTTATTAATTCGTTACCACAAATCATTGTCATTTATATATACTGTTACAATGTACAAGAACACAAATTATGGGCTGTAGAATATGATAAGGTATTATATGATAATCATATTATTGAGTAGAAAAAATTGAATGAATATCTGATTTTCATCCTAAAAAAAGAGACATTAGAAATATAGATTTTCGCATTGAATTGAATGGATTCGATTGTTTAGGTCAAAGGTGTTCATGCGATATTTGATGAAATTAAAATACAGCTTGGCAAAAGCCAAACGATTAAAAAGCAATCGTCAATAGTCAAGAATGTACCAACAACCGATTTTTTACCAGAAACAATTTCAAGATCTGAAGTCACATATGCATTAGACTTATCATATTTTATTGCTGAGGCTTGCTTTGATTATTTTGGTCGGATGGCAGTTATATCAAAAACTAAAGATGATTTTATTTCCTTATGTAGAAATGAATTGAAATCAGGAAGTACTCTGTTAGGAGTTATTCAGGAGTTTCAAGATGGCTATGCTGCAAATACAGCAATAGATTGGTTCTATAGAGATCCATTCTTTTGTAGTATCGTCGAAAATATTTTTAGAGCTTCCAGTATAGATACGATGTTACCCTGTCAATTTTTAATACACGATATTAAAAAACAACTGGACGAGCATAAATTTACATCATCTGTTGTAGTCTACAGTAGTGGAGTGATGCCAACAGAAACATTGACAAAGATGGACGAATTTATTGGAAAAGTTATTGCATTCAAATCATTTCTTTTAGCAAATTTGGATCGTGATAAAGCGCTTTCATGTACATCAAATTCAGGTTCGTCGGATAGATGTAAACGCATATTATTCATAATTGAAGCTAATCCGAATATTGAAAATGTTAAATCATTTGCTAAAATTGATTCCTTTACTAATCGAGTCAGTCCAGGTTCTGTACTCTTCATGATTGGATCACTTTTTAAAATTATCGAAATTAAACATGAAGAAAATAATATAATAAATGTGAAAGTATTGCTTTGCGGAAACGATAGTGAGAATAGCACAAAAACATTATTCGATCGACTCAAAGCCCAGTATATTGATAGCAACGGAGAAACTGATCTTATTGGGTTTGGCCAATTTCTGATTACTATTGGTAACTCAATGGATGGTAAACCATTATGCGATGAAGGTGAACGTTTGATTAGATCTTATGTTGATCAATTGCCAGCAGATGATGCCAGCCGTCCTCGTGGTTATGATGCATTAGGGGCAATACATTTAAGCAGAAGGGATTTCGGTGAAAGTCTCAATTGGTTTAAAAAATCACTCGAATTTGAGAAAGAAAAACTGCCACCAAATGATCTAAGACTTGCTGAAAGTTATCAGAATATAGCATTAGTTCATGTTCAAATAAAAGAATTTACACAAGCACTCGAATATTTCAAGCAAACTTTGGTTATTTGGAAGGCATCTTATGGCGATGATCATCCTATTCTACTGCCTTGTTTAACTAATGTGGCTAGTATCTATGAACAGGAGGAAAAAATAGAAGAAGCAACTGCATGTTATCATCAAATGTTAGCTATTACAATAAAGCATCCTTTGACTGATCCATGTTGGTTTGCTGCTGTGTATAATAATCTTGGTAATATGCACTATCGGCTTGAATCTTATCATCTTGCATTGGGATTCTTCAAAACATCATTGGAATTCAAATTAAGATTTCTTTCGAATGACCGCCCATCGATAGCACGTACATATACAAATATTGGACTCGTCTGTGAATCAATGAGTAACATCCAAGAATCACGAGAAAACTTCGAAAAAGCAGCAAATATTTATAATGCATTATATGCAGCCGATCACGAATGTGTTAAAAAAATTTCAGAACTTATTCAAAATTTACCGACTCAATCTGCATAGTCCAGTTCATTGATAAAAGAACATTGGAACAATAGATGATTATTCTTGGGAGCTAAAGTTTATTAGCGATTGCTTTTGATTCTTCAGAGACATATTTGCTTTTATAATTTTTTTTTCATGCTCACTTTTATATTAAAACGTCAAGAATAAAATAAAACAATTTTTTCTCTTAAAATATGATTTTTTCGCGATTGTACTAGAGCAGCGATCGAATTAGTCTATCTGACTACGTTGATAACGTTTACATATGAATAAACTTAAATATTTCTATGTTTATTAATTTCTAGTAATTTAAATAAACACTCTACAATAAAAATACCAGTATAAATATGTTTTAAAAAAACTTCAGAATTATAATTTAAATTTTATCATTCTTATGTGTCCATGTTGGACGTGTTTTTTTAATAAATGATTCAAGTCCATGCTGAGTATCTTTAAGATCTAAATTTTCAAGCATACCGCGTGTTGCTACTTGATAATCATCAAGTAAATCTTCTTTTGCATCTTTCAATTGTAAATATTTTTTACCAAGAGCAACAACAGGTCGACTATTTGCACATATTTGTTGAGCAATTTTATTTGTTTCACGTTCTAAATCATTTTGGCCAACAACACGACTAACAAGACCATGTTCAAAGGCTTCTTTTGCTGATATTGGTTCGCCAGTAAATAACATTAGTGAAGACAGTTTCGAATTTGTAATCGAACGACGAACAGCTACAGCTGGTGTTATGCAAAATAATCTATTGAAAAATAAAATTTAGCGAAAAAGATAATTACATTGAAGCATAGATATCTACCCATGTTTTACGCCAGGAACAGAAAATGAAGCATTTTCACCAGCAACTACAATATCGCAGCTTGCTACTAGTTGACAACCAGCAGCTGCAGCAAGGCCAAATACTTCAGCAATAACGGGAATAGATAATTGACGAACTCTTTACAAAGATAAATCTGATGTTTATTTTGTTTTCTCTGATAATAATATCGAATTTACTTCAGCATGAGTTCTGTGCATCGATCAAAAATAGATCCGCATGCTTTTGTTTTACTTAATTCAAATAATTCTTTGAGACTATGACCAGAACTGAACACAGTTTGATCGCCAGCAGTGAGCACAAGCACACGTGAACTTTGTTCGTTATCTTCAATAGCTTTGATCAAATCATTGATCATTGCCAATGAAAGAATATTACGTTGACGTGGATTATTTAATTTAATCCGACAGATTTGTTTCTTGTCACATGTCGAAATCGTCACTAAGCTCGTTGCAGATGACGCATGACGAGGTAAGTGATTTTTAAATTGAGAATTCAAACAAATAATTCGTCGTAAAAGCATAGATTAGATCTGAAAAAAATTATGCAATTGGTATCGAAATATCAAAAACTCTACTTGTTCGTATATGATAAGTAGATATGAAAATTTCGCCGTGAATTTTTCTAGACTTATAGGAAACTATACTGATAGGAAACTAGTGTGAAAAACCACGTATTTGAATTAGTTAGCATATGGCCGATAATAAAATATTCTAGGTATACTAGGGAATAATTATAATGATAAGCCTTGATAAATATGATTGATAGTCGAAGAGGGAAAAATATAAGAATCTTCTGTGACCCAATTTAAGTTGTCATATTTTTAGTAGACAACATGGCGTGGTGTGAACATTTTTAATCAGTTTACTAAAACTTATATGTAAAGAAATAAAGAAATTTTCATTTTTTGAGATATATTTTTTTCCATGCGTAGGGCAATCCGCATTCGTACGCATCCCATTGTCAATAGATGATCGAATTTAAAGCAAAAGCGCTTGAATTCAACAACAACTATCATCTTTCCTATGCGATATTAAATTTTCATAAAGATAAAGACTTTGATCCCACTTGATTGTATACCTTGAAGTTCATCTCAAGTTAAATGAGAAGAATATTTCAAATCATGTAATTACTTTAAACATACCGAAGAATATGATCATATTACCATGTATGTTATAATTATTCAAAATAAATTCATTCCATCTGCTCAATTTCATTGAGTTGTTTCTCATGTTTAACAAAAAGCCATACTTACCTGTCTGGTATCATTAATCATTCGTCGTCGTTCTTGATGTATTGATTACCTAAAGGAAATAAAAGACAAACATTAAATGTTGACTGTATTTTAAATTTTTTCACTAAGTACGCTTAGAGAAGTTAGAGAAAAAAATAGAAAGAGAGGAAATAAACGCCACAAGAAAAAAAAATAACATTAGCTAATATTTCCATACACGAAGATGTTGGATATTTGGCCAAATATAATTGTATTGATTGAACAACATAATCTACGAAATGAGTCATTTGTAGATCCAAACAACGTTTGAGATGAAGAGAAGAAAATTCAAATGTCGAATGAACATATTACGATAAGATATACATACTATTTCTCTAATAAAAGTGCGGTGAAAACTGCAGGATTTTTGAAAGAAAATTAACTTCTGTAGGAAGTTTTTTCTTCGTTTCGTTACAGTTATACAAATTGCTAATTACATTTGAAGCTAATATTATTCTTATGAATGAAATAGACAATCCCTGATGCATCTAATTTACTAATATGATCATCTCGAATAAATTTCAATCTCTGGACTCTATAATTAAAGAATAAGCAAGCGTCAAAATTTTTCTCAAAAATCTTTTCCCACAGGATAGTTTAAATTTATTTGTATAGGTCATTTAGTGAAGTTTTGCTTATTCCCTGATATTTAGCTAATCAAGTCAGCATCGATGAATATCATTGATGACTATTAGAGAATATCATTAGAATAATAACACTCTCCCACTCTACTGTATATTATTAAATCCACAATTTTTTTTTATGATAGATCGAGAAGCATGAATGCAAAAAACGTTCTCAACCCTAATACTGTAACATGTTCATAGACCATACGTAAAAGAAATATGAGATCTAACGATTAGTTTCGTCAATCCTATGGAAAAATCATATTTGATCATCAGTTAACTATTGATTTTTTACAAGGAAACTTAGATAGCATGTATTTCACTATTTCTTTCAATGAATTTTATTAAACTTTCACAGAAAGATTCAAAATAGTAATGTTTCATCGCTGATATAGTTTTAAAATCTAAATTTTGTTTATTAGGCGTAAGATCACCTTCATCCAAAAAAACGTAATAGGCTGAGAGATCCAAGTTCACTATTCTAAACTATATGAAAAGTTGTTACGGACATTCAACTGAAGCTATGTAACATATAAACTTCAACCCATTCTCAGGGCCCGCGAAAGTGGGGGCTGTGGGGTATACCCGGCGGGGGGGGGGGGGGGGGGGGGGGGGGGGGGGGGGGGGGGGGGGGGGGGGGGGGGGGGGGGGGGGGGGGGGGGGGGGGGGGGGGGGGGGGGGGGGGGGGGGGGGGGGGGG